GGAAATTATCCCCGTTCTACCCCCAAATTTTATGGTTTTCTGTCTGATAGCTTCAAGAATTTTGTTACCGATGTAGGTCAGTCATAATCAAATCATAATAAATTCTTGTAAATTCCAGCTTTTCTTGGTCAAGGTGTATGCTAACTATGTTGAACTTTAGTAGAAATTATCCCCATTCTACCCCCAAATTTTATGGTTTTGTGCTCAAATGATTAACTAGTTTCAAACCGAATTCAAGTAGAAGGTACAAGATAATGTCAGTATCTTTCCAATTAGATTTACATATCAAAGTAAACAGAAGACTGATTATCTATTGATTTTCTTCTGCTTCCTGAATTGTTTTGTTGCATATGTGAAAACTAAAGAGCAATTTTTTTCATTTACCAGCTATCTCAATCATTACACCTGGTAATGCTATGTGTCACTGACTTGAAAGAAAAAGCTCTGATCTTTATGGAATCAATGCTAGAGAGTTACTGATTGCTAAAGATGACATTCTGTCTGTTTCTAGTCTCCGACTTTATTCTGATCAAATCTTAATATCCTATGGAACTATATAAATGGTAACACATGTAAAGAAGCTTACTTTTTACAAATCTATCCTTTTCTACATAAACATTTTATAGAGTTTGCAGATGAGATTGGACACCATTGGTCCTGATTTTGATAACACAGACTCTTTAAACTTAAATCATTACTCTAACAGAGAATGCTAAACATTGAAAAGTTCAGGAAACAAAGAAAAAAGAACAGCATTACCAAAACTCAAGTAGTTCAACATTGATAATGTTGGCATAAAAGATGTGCTGGAAGGTAAACAAGATTTAATTAGACAAGGATGCAAAATCTACAAAGGCATTCTTTTTTACAAGTTATAAGCTTGCATTAGAACTAGTATTAGTCTACTCTGTACAGTAGCAAAATGTAAGTGATAAGGAACAACACTCACTTTCACTAGTTTTCTCTTACATTTGTGGTGGCAGCGAAGGCTGTGAAGCCACAGCAGCCGACATCCGTTTCCTCTTCTTCTTGCCACTACTCTTGTGCTGAGCGCCGCCTCCTGCAGCGGACGATGGCTTCGAGTGACTGAGACTGGTGGAGACGGACACGGGCACTGCAGCCTCCACTGCATCTGCGGCGGTCCCGACCGTGATGATAGACCCCAATGGACACTCCTGCCACCCGAGCGCCGCAATGTCCTGCTTCGCTTCCTCCAGTGACAGCTCCACGCCCACCGGCGTCGCCACCTGGCCCTGCACGGTCGACCTGTCCGGGCGCATCAGCTCCAGCGAGTTGAGAGCGTCCACGATGAACGCCTGAGAAGAACAAAGCGGTGAAGTATCAATTGCCAAGGTGGGGATATCAGATACTCCCAGACCAAGGAAATCAAGGGATTTGGTGGGCGGACCTTTTGCAATCGGTGCAGCTTCAGGAATCCATGCATGTAGACGATCTGATAACCATCAAACCACAGAGTAAGGACGACATCAAATTTCAAAGAAAAAAACCTAAAACCCTCTCTTTTCTTCTCCTTCTTGCTCTTCTCCCCAAGGATTTCTAGTACGGGAAACTGGGATCTGATGCATGAAGATGGAGTTAGAACCACGAGGGACGAGGATTTGGGCGGAAGGAACCGATCGCGACAGAAGAGGAGTGGCAATGGGGATTGGAAGAAGCAAAATAGAAAGGGGAGAGCTTGGGGCTTGCACCTGGTTAAGCTGGTCATGGGAGAGGTGGTGGCAGAGGTGGGAGTTGCGGAAGAATCCGGCGTACTCTTCCAGGGTCAGCTGGCTCGCCGCCTTGTCTCCTTTCATCTCTTCTCTCGCTGTCGTCGGCGTCGGGTTTCTCGTGCCGTCGCGGCTTTATGTTGTTCCACCCCTTAAGCATGAATCAAACTTCCACGGGAACTACCTCACCTACCCTCATTCACACCCCGCTTTGGCGGGAAACGAGAACCACACAAGAGAGACCCATTTGGTGGGTCCCATGCCGGACCAGTGACGTGCCCTTTAAACTTGCAATTTACGATCCAATTTTACCCCTGACAACCTCTTCACTGTTTGTTGATAATACCTTAAAATAATAATAATAATATAATATTTTATTATTTAACATCTTTATATTATTAAAAGGAAGAAGAAAAAGAGGAGGACGAGGAAGACGAGGAAAAGAGAAAAATATATGGTATTTATGTTCATTAAAAAAAAAGATAGTTTAGAAATATAAAAAATATTTAAATTAAAGTTATAAAATAGTAAAAAAAAATAATATCCTTTAACATTTATAATTTGGTGTCCCTTTATATCAATAATGCTCCAAACTTGACCCTCTATCGATTTTCATCTTCGTCCACATCTTATAGATCGATTCTGATATACTTTTAAAAACAATATTTTTATTGAGATGATTAAAAATAATAATAAGTTTTATATTCATATTTGAGTATTGATATTTCCAAACTATTAAAGATATCTATTTGAATCATAATTTGGTATAGAAATTAGTTGAAATTTGTTTGTGCTATGTTTTTGACTAATTTATAATATTTTTTAATAGACTTACGATATTTTTGTAGATGTACGGAAAAAATATAAGCCTATTGAAAAATATTGTATGTGATATAATATTCCTCTTATTTCATTATCCTTTCATTATGAAGGTTAATTTGATAGTGTAGTTGGTTTTTTTGCTTTTGAGTTTATTTGGATCATTTATATTATTTTTTAAAAAATTAATAATCTTTTAAATTCAGGTGAAAAATAAAATAAAATTATTTATAAATATTATATTATTTAAAAAAAATACTACAGTAACAGTGTGTTTTACAATGACACCCTATAGATGGATTCATAAGATGTGGATGAAAGTAAGTATAAAGTGTTCAAAGAGGCACCAAATGAAAACTCTTTATTAATTCTTAATCTATGAAGCTTACTTGTACATTAATATGACAAATATTTATTAATTAACTATCATTTGACTATTAATTACAAATTTTAAATTAGGTTGATACACTCAAGCTACCGAATTTGACTATCAAGGACTTAACAAAATGCGAAAGAATTGATATATTTGAAAGTTTATATGCCTTAAGTCAAGAATTTTGGCAAACTCTCAATGGCCAAATTGAGCATTGGCCTATGTGTCACATATTTAGTGATTCTTCTCAACATTTCTTCTGTTTGTGTGTATGCACAACCCTTTTTTGGAACTATTCATTTTTGTGAAGCTCCAGTGGTGACCAATGAGTTTGATGAATGCAGACACAGATGAGATTAATTGCAAATGCTTGAAAAAATAGGGTGACAAGAGACAGTCATGAAACAATTTCTACCACAGAATACATTCAGCAGAGATGGGATAGATTACAAATGTTGGTTGGTAAAGGAACTGCAGCAGCCAAAGCAATTAGTGAAGTAGGCAGCTTTGGAAAGAATCTCAAACTCATTCAGTGTGGCCACAACCTTATTGTAGCAGATCTGTTGTTGGTGTAGCACTGGATGGATGGAAGATGTGGAATGCAGCAGCTTTATCTGCATCAGAGTGTCACTATCAGAGCACTTATGATTTACACTAACTTTTGTAATCAATCTAAAAACTCAGAGAACTATTTATTCTTTTGGAATGCAGCAGCTTTATCTGAATCAGAGTGTCACTATCAGAGCACTTGTGATTTAGACTAACTTTTGCAATCAATCTAAAAACTCATGGAACTATTATTTTGGTAAGGGTAAGTAATATCTCATAGTAATAGTGAGTAGTTAAGAAGATTCAAACTAAGAAACAGGGAAAGAACAATATGAAGGCTCACATTTGCTCAATTCCAAGTAATGAAATAAAGTTGACCCTCTAATTTGATAGTGACCATTGTTCACTAACAATTTCATTGGAACTTTTTCATAGATTAATACTTTTTAACTATAACATGGAGAAAGAACTAGCTGAATCATCTTCATGTTCATCGAAATGCCACTATAAATGTGCAAGCACAGAATTTTGTAAACTTAATACTCTCTGTGATGCTTTCTCAAGATTTAGATGAAATGCTTCATATGACACTAGGAAGATATGGATCAAAAGATATAATAGTAGCAAACTTCTCATTGGCACAAGTCTTTACATGAACAGGAAGAAAACACGGTAAAGTAGTAGAAGAGCAGATTCAAACAGGAACTCTCTCTCTCTCTCTCTCTCTCTCTCTCTCTTGCTCATGGCAGTGACATAGGACCTGTTCTCTTCCCCTCCCTTTCCTCCCTTGTGCTCTTCCCACCCTTCTTTTCCTCATTGTGTTGCAAATCATCAACCACCTCGTCAATGCATTTGCATACTGCCACATCCAATTGCTTCTTTTGAAAATCATCAACCTCAAGCTGGTCAAGTTGGGCCAAGCTGATCCCTAGCCCTGTAGGGTTGAGCTATTCCTGAGCTCAACTGAACCAAAACAACAAGTGAACTCGACTAAGCCAAGCATTAACACCTTGAACCACGTAGCCAAAACGCTAAAGCCCATGACATCAGCAATAAGCTCATTTAACTTTATATTCCATCATAATCTCCTCAACATCCCATGTGGGACTAATTGAGTGTCAAATATAGGAAATATTTTTGAAGTCCCTGAAGCAGTTAACATAACCATATAGTTAGCTGGTGGCCTACGCAAATTGCAATTTTTTCATCATTGAATAAAGCTAGCTGTTTGGAATTTGGGCATCTCAGGAAGTCTTGAGTATCTGTCATAGGTGCTCCTATCAAACTTTGGAATAATGAAAGTGGTTGAACTACATTAATATTACAGGACATTCTCAAGAGCAGGTGATTTGATAAAATATACTTTAATGTTTTTACCAAAAGTAGAAAGCTAGCTTACAATTAAATTGTTAACTCTAAGAAAGATGTGTAGCCACATATTACCAAGGTTTTAGAGCTTACACATGACAAGCTAATCCTATCAGCCAAATCTCAAGTTCAGACAAGCAGCTACTTCTGACTTCCTGAATAGCTTTAGTTTTGACTCTGACTAAATGTAAGCACAAAGGACATGCCCTCGCCATTAGAATCAATGATCGTAATCTGACAATCCTGAAAAGCCTTAGCTTTAACTCTACCTCCACGTATGAAAGACATGCCCTAGCTACTAAAATAGATTATCTTAATTTGACAAAACCACCTGTAAACATTATCATTCTGTTTAAGGAAACGATATAGTACATTAATCAATTAAAAGTATATTTAACACGAGAATTATAGTTCCATAAAATGCCAATAAAACTGTCACACAGGGTGTATGGTTATATTGGACATCAAGCAAGCAAAAAATAGTAACAAGGAGAATGGTACAAACAGATACAAAAGCCAATAGGTTTAGCAACAGATAACTGTGAGGAAAGCATCAGTTTGACATTAAAGATAATATAGAGGAAAGGAGTAGAAAGAGGATAATACCACAATAGAGACCTTGGTGTAAAATAAAACCCATCCTCTTGTGTACTTTCATGGTCAGGCACAGATCCAGTAGCTGAGATGGCCTTATTTTCAGAAGAATTTGGAGATTCACCACTGGATGAATAAAGATCTGAAGATTGATCAGAACTTTCTACACAGTATTTCTGCAGCCACATATCAGTCTCCCATAGGACATGCATGATACTCTCTCTAGCAGAATAACCATGACTTTCAAAGGGAAGAATAACCAAACGGCAGAGTGCTCCATGTCCCTTCAAAGCATTGAAAAAACGATCGGACTGCACTTGCAAATCAAAGTGGACAATTTTAGTTAGCAATTATGTTCCTAGCATTGGGAAAAGAACCCACATTTACCAACTAATCAATGGAAAAGCAAAACAATGGCGATAAAGAACGAAAAGGTTTGAGCTTGGCAGACAATACATACATACATACATACATACATACATACATACATGGAAAAGATGCAACAACCGGCAGCAGTTAGAATTGCATGGATAACATATGTTACAGATAATTGATGTGTCATTTGTGGAAGCTTCAGTGTATCAACAAATACCAGCCAAAGCAGCAAGAAAATTTTGTTGTCAAACAATCAGATAAAGCTAGGGATCCAGAATTCATGGATACTAAAAGTAAACAGATATGAAGATGGAAGGAAGAAAAACATATATAATCAATATAGAAAATAAGACCTCTGGCATTTGAAATGCACTCAAGCATGTGCAAACAGTCATGCATGCAAATCTATTGACAATTTATGTTTGAATTCTAGTGAGGGTTAGGGATGCAAAAAATCAGAGTCACCATATGATATAGCTTGGCTTGGCTAAAATTCTTGGAGGCAAGGTTTCAAATTTCACCCGATCTGATATGTAACAGGCAGAATTTATCTGTCCGGGCTTGATTTGCTCGGTCATCCAAACTTTTTTTGAGTGGCAGCAAGCCTAGGATTCAAGTGCCAGCAGCCAGGTATGTAAGACTTTCTCCTTGAATATAATAACACGTGTAATTTAAGTTTAAAAAATGTTAAAGTTCATCTCGTTGAGGAAGAGGAAGCAGCAAAGTCCGTAGCGGCGGATGAAGGCGGAGATGCAAAGGTAGAAGAGGTTGGAGGTGGAGGTGGAGGTGAGGGAGAGCTAGACCACCACATCATAGGCACGGCCGGTGAGGGCACAGGAGAGGACGAAGTGGGAGGCGATAGAGACGAAGATGCCCAGGAGGAGGAAGAGAGACCAAGAGACCACTGCGTGCCTAGCGTCGGGCTGGTCGACACACATCCACCTGAGGCAGGACCGGACTTCTAAACTCGTCATCAACTCAGGAGAGGTTGTGTGCGTACAATGCCCTGCTAGGCAGCAACGGCTCCGTGCTACTGCTGGAGAACGCTTCCACGACGACGCCTCCTCCCACCATTGATGGTGGCCTCAGTTTTTTTTTAACTTAAATTATATGTGTCATTATATTAATGGTTTATTTTGAGTCAGCATGTCATGTAAGTAGACTCTATCGTCTGATAACTCAGACTTGACGGGAAGAGTTTATATGCTACGTTTTTTAAAATATATGAGTTATTTTAGACACGAACAAATCATAAAGACTTAAGTGGTCCATGGCCAAAACAACATGGACTAAAATAGATCTTAACCCTTTTTTAAACTTAAATTACACGTGTCATTATATTAATAGTTTATTGTGAGTTAGCATATCATGTAAGCAAACTCTAACATTTGTTAACTCAAACTTGACGGAAGGGGCTTATATGCATTTTAAAAATGTATGAGTTATTTTAAACACGAGTAAACAATAGGGGCTTAAGTGGTCCATTGCAAAAACTATAGGGACTAAAATGGACTTTAATCCTAATTCTTAGGATTCACTGATCTAGAGATGAAACTTAGGTTCATTTTTCTATTTCTACCATCTACAAATTCTTAAATTTCATAGTATTGTGGTGTCTTTTCTCAAAATTGTTTCAAGAGTTGAAGCATTCCTAAAGCTAAATTGAATACATGGTTGGGTCTGAAGAAGAGCGTCCATCTTGCAGAAGTGCTATCGGGAAAAAGATGGGCTGCATATGGTTTCTGTAGCTTCTTTGTTGACTTGATTAAATATGTTGTGATCATATTTTGCTTCGATGTCAAAAAGCAGTGAATACTTTGGGATGAATTACTGATACAAATACTCATGTCATGGATTCTTTTCTATCATACATTTGGTTGGCTCACCAAAAAGTCTGCTTCGAAAAAGGCGATGCTGTGATGGATTTCCATTCATGATTTGATGGTTCATCTGGAAGGAATAAATAGGACTGTGGAAGTGGTCAGGGATCATGTTGTCTTGATCGAATTCAGTTTCAATCGATGAGAAAGATGCTGTATATTGTTGTACCTACGATCCTACCCACTAGTGGATGACCTCGATATGATCATTAATTGTATCTCTCTCACACACGTCATTGAATTTCACTACTTTAATGAAAAGAGTTGACCATTTTGTGCCTTCACCCTAAGGAAAAGAACAAGATCTAACTTACGAGCATTCCATTGTTCTATTTTTACTTTGTATGCCCCGTAAACTTCCTTCCTAATGTCAAAGAAATGGAACAAGAGGATTTCTACACAACAATCAATATGACCTTTTGTTCATCCTAATGAATTGCACCTAAGTGCTTTCCTGCTGCTATTAATAGTAGTTTCTTTTGTAAATCTTGTGCTTCTCCTTTTTAATCTATCTAGAGTTTCTTCTAATGTCTATGTGAGAAAGAATGTTATATGTGTTCTTTACAAACAAAAGTATAAGAAAATAACAGAAATATAACAAAGGATACACTCAATATACCTGCATCGTCAATGTTCCTGAGTTGTTGTCTTCTTCCCCATGTATTAATAGAATTGGTTTCTTTATTTTATTTGCAGACATGAAAGGACTCATCTCAATATAAGTATTAGTGGCCTCCCAAAGTGTTCTATCTTCGTTCTACATGCATACAGAAGAAGATATTAGATGAATAACTAAAAAAAATTCTCTAGTTACAGAATCTGTTAGAAAGTCCAAGAGCCTAATAGTGAAGAGAAGTCACATCAAGAAAGAAAGAGTTCAAAACCTGAAAGCCAAAAGGAGTTAGAGTCCTATTGTATGCTCCAGAACGAGAAATGCCACAACAAAAAAGATGGGGTGCATGAGCTAATAGATTAGCTGTCATGAAAGCCCCATAAGAGTGACCACCAACAGCAATTTTATTTGGATGAGCGACCTGAAAATTTGAGCATGTATCAATCAAATAGGTAGACATGCACAACCCGAATAATCATTTTCTCCAGAAAAGAAGTGTTCTACCCCTCTTCGTATGACTTCCTCAACTGCAGCCTCCGAACTAGCAACCAGCTGTTCTACATACCTGGTTAACATTATAAAAAATCAACTTAAAGGAAAATGCTCATCTATGAAGCATGACATACAAGTGATATTATACAAACATTCTGACATAATATGTCCTATAAAATATCATGACATGACACAGGCATGGTAATTAATAGATGTTTTTATATATTTTAAATTTTATAATTTATATGATACAGATGATCTATGATCATCATACATAAATTATATATAAAGTAGAAAAACCATTCATAGAAACAGCAAAAATGCATAACACCACTTTAAACACACATACAAAACATTAAGGAGTCTGAACAACATCCATGGTGTCATTATTTGGCAGATTGTACAAGAAACTCAATGTTTTGCATGTGTGTTTAAAAGGCTACAAGTAAAACTTATTTCATAGGTATGATAAGTGAAAATTACGTATGCAAAACTGGGAAGAAACTTACCGGTCATTTGCCTCTTCATCACCTTCACCAATAATTGGGATTGTTGGGCCAGAGAGAATTGCAAATCTGCAAGAATGAAATTTAACCAGATACATTGGGCAATGAACTTAAAGATTTAAGGTAATGAAGCTCAAGGGAAAGAAAGGAGCTACATGAATTCACTAATGTATGCATTATCCTGTAAAACAATAACTTAAGCACTCTGTTTTGAGCAATTATTTAACTATGGTTAATGCAATTGTGGCTCGTAGACAGGCTTGTGTGTTGAAGTCATGACATGAATTCACATATTCATACAATGATCTCAATTAAAAGCTATGGACAAAGAATTTACTTCTCATTTCCAACAAATTTGTCCAAATTGAAAGTCAATGATCACAGTAACACAATGCCATATGGATTTCTCTTGATGTTGTACACACTGCCTGCTTGTCGTTCAAATTTTGGTATTTAATAGTGAAATACACAGAAAAGTAGAGAAAATATATGTCACTACATCTCCATATGGGTTGATCTTATAGATTTATCCTATGTCAACAGTTGAACCAGCAACCACAATAACAACAAGTCACCCATAGATGAACCAACAACAAGCCATTAAGTCCCAACTATTAGGGCTCAGCTACATGATCTTTTTCCACCATTGAGCTAGACCAATAAATGAACCAATTCACTTAATAAACTGGCTTGAGACAATATTCTAACTGTCGTAACACCATATGAGGGTTTTTCTACAAGTTATCCTTGACCAGATGTGGTCGAGAGAAATGGAAAAAGGTTCATTGAGCAGCATCTGTCCCCATCATTAAATGCCAAAAGTATCAACATCATTGACAAAGATAGGATTTGCTGATTTGGAGAAATAGAAGTGTGCATATATTTCTTCTCTTTCTTCCTTCCTCTCTATTCTGTGTATTCTCTTTTCCTTTTCCCTTTCTGCTGCCGACATGCCTGTGTGGCCATAGAAGTTAACCATGCCATGCTGAAAGCACTTACCACTCTGCCTCGTGATTGACAGGAACCTACACCTTAAAAGGACACTCTTGCCTATGGCTTGTATATTTCAGCATAAATTAGTAACTATCGGCTATTTAACACAAAAATAGGTGAAGCAGCATTCCTGATAGCAAGTACAATAAAGTTAGTATTCAAGCTGGACAAAGAATCAGTGAAGCACTCAACAAAAATATTTGTACAAATTTATGCAAATTTACAGTTTTTGTGAGGGCACTAGCACAATATTGTAAAGAAAGAATTTTCCTGCCTTCAAAAGATTTCATAACAAATATAATTATTAGTTAATGAAAGAAAAGTAAGAATATAATACCCTCTAGCCAACCAGAGAAGTGGTGATGTAGGACCTATTCCTGCAAACTCATTGGGAGAACCACGAACTTGACCGGCAGCATCTTTGCTTTTAAACTCTCCAGGATAAGACCAGACTAGGCATGGCAGAGGTCCTTCTTTAGTAGGACTGTAACCAGGAGGCAAGTAAAGTGTTGCAGTTAGTTGAACACCATCCTTCCTCTGGTATCTGATCATCTCTTTCTGTAAGGACGCCAACTGAGGATAAGGATGGGGGAAATTTGTAATCTGAAATGACTTTTTATCTGGCCAAGCCTGTAGAAAATATTGAGTATTTTCCGTTTTCGATTCCTTTGAAGTAAGTATTCTTAATTGATCAATGGGCAATTCACCATCAGTGTAATCTGACATTAATGCAACAACAGTTTCATAATATTTTTCCTTGTCACTTTCCCATATCCTCTCTTTAACTCCTGTATTTCTGTGAAGAAAAATACCATGCGCACTTTATTTTAGTTTGACTAAGTGGCCTTCTATACACCAAAAATGGAAAAGATAATGCTTCATAAGAACTCACACGTCAAACAAATCAAGGAATGGAATGTTTCCTTCTGGTGTCGCACCTCTTCCATTCAGTAAAATGTAAGTTCCCTCATCTTGCTTTTTAATTTTGGCAATGACATAGGTACCAGCTTGTGTTCGCCGCATCATTGGAGAGCCTGGATCAGAATATGCATCTTCTGATGATCTATCAAATAGTATTCGTGGATTAACATTTTTACTGTCTGGAGCGATGACCCATGTCCTAGTTCGTCGTGTTTTATACCATGATTCATACACTAAAGCAAGGGTATCATCACACCAAGAGATACCTCTGCGAGAAAAAGAACTAAGTAAGATCATGAAATGGACATGTCATGGAAAGCAAGTTATCATATCCCATTTTATTATGCTAGAAACTCTGTTTTACATAAAAATTTCAGGAGAACCGTGATGCCAAAGTAAGGACCTTTTTACTATTTATTATTTTGAAGCTGCTATGCTCTTAAACTGTCTCACCATAGTTAATACCAACATGAGAAATTAGAAGTAAAAAAGACAAGTACAGTAGCCTTCAATGTCAACTAAATAATTACATTACACATGACACTTTAAGTTCTTAACAAATGGCTTTGTAATGACTTTAGTTCATTTGCAAGTTTATTAGTATACTAACAGAGAAGTATTCAGTCTTCCAGAATTTTAAACAAGAACATCAAGAACTACAGAAAACATTTACTAAATGAAAACAAAGATAATTTTTCTTGGCAAATTAACTTTTCAGTTTTCTAAGTATCAAAAAGTCATTGTTAATTTATTATCATCATGTCCATCTCCTTTCTTATTGTTAGCACTAGACACTGGCACCAACCAGCACTACCACCACCATTATTACAATGACCACGACCACCATTGTCCCCATCACCACTAGCAGTGCCACCACAACAGTAGCATCATCACACATTTAACAACATTTACAGCTGCAGCCCGTCATTGCTACCACCTTCCCACCACAGTTACATGTCTACTGCCAGCACACCATCAACCATCACAATTGTTAACACCATCACTATAATTACATCATCACTACTGGTGTAGGACAAACGTTCAAGTACAAATGATACAGGAAAAGGGCATGGAGAGCAAAGCATGTTTTTTTCTCTTTTGGAGCTTCACAATAAAGCAAAGCTAATAGTGGCTGTGAAGCATGGACACGTGCATTCAGTGGATGTGTCCATGTCTGACACGTGTCGGACACATGGACACACGGGTCTAACACTCATGTGTGGTGCTGCACTTGCGTGGCCCCCACGTGAGGGTCATACACTTCACAAGAAAAAAAATCTGGAGATCGTTGCAAGGAAGCACATAACAATTATATCTAAAAATTGTTAAATATTACTTGATGTACTCAACCTTTATTTTGGATACTTAAATTTAGATGATTTTAATTGTTTTAACATGTATGACGATATTTATTTGTTCACATTGCTGAGTACATAAAATTTAAGTATAAATACTATAAAACTCGTGTGTGTGTGTGTGTGTGTGTGTGTGTATATATATATATATATATCACTTGTCCTCACTGTATTCGTGCCTTAATTTTTTTTTTAAATGTCATGTCATCGTGTTGTGTCGTGCCCGTGTCCATGCTTCTTAGAATAGCGGTGAGGGATGATGAAGAAAGTTAAAAGGGAGAAGAGAAGATAATATTATACTTGCTCTAGTTCCCAAGCATCACAATTAGGATCCTAGCCTCACACTCTATGTGCCTCACACATGGACGATGGCATTGCACAATGGAAGGATAAGTAGTTGACTCACTCTAACTCTAGGATTCATTCTAAGGATGAGATCTGACACCATTGACACATATTCCCTTCATTCATACCCTAGTGTTCTAGGTCACAACCTCGTCCAGTATATAAGAGAAAGGAAAACTACAAAAGCCAAGCAAAAAAAATCAAGAAAATATATCTTGTAAATCAAGGCATATTAATCATTTCTTCTTTCTTTCTTGGAGAAGATGTATTTAAAATTTATTTTGGTAAATAAACTTTTTTTGCATATGAGATATTTGATTGATAGAGATTTCTTTCTTTCTAAAAGTCTTCCATCAATTTTCAACTTCGTTGTAGAAATGAAATTCTTTAATCAAGCCTTAGAAATTTACATCAAGTTCAAATTTTGATTTCTTCCAATTTATTCATTTGGCTTCCTTTTTCTTCTTCCTTAGCTATCTAAAAATAGTAATATATACATATACATATACATATATATATATATATATATATATATGTAATATTTGCATATTCTCCCCCAAAACTAATAAAACTTATTCAAAAGGAGATGAAATCAAGTAGTACCACATCAACCACCATCACCACCCTCATTATGGCCCCACCTCCATCATCTCATGGCCACCATCACCACCACTACAACCATTACAGCACCACCATTATTACCATTGTTGTCACCTTCACTACATTGTCACCAACATCATAAGTAGTATCATGCGACCACCATCATAGTCACAGTTTCCACGTCACCACCATCACTACCGCTACTATCATGCTATGACCATCATTGTCACCTTTGTAACCATAACACATGCCTTTGTCGCCACCATACCTCATGGACACTAAAACACCATCACTAACATCAACAATGTCATCACTACCACTGCCCGTGCCAACTATCACCATCATTGCACCAACATCACTTCAACGCCACCATTATCGCGACAAATTGAGGAAGATAAAAAGAAAGTAGAGAAAAGTTTCAAGTTTGAATAATTAAATATGTTGCTGTTTTCTATAGAGAAATGAATAGTAAAACAAAATGAAATATGGAAATTAAATCATAATTTTTTTCTCCAAAAATATACATGCCTAAAAAGCTTTAATAAAAGTTCCATGTTTTCTAAGGTTATCAGGCGTGCACCAAGTACTTACAGGATGGATACTTTCTTACAACATATGAAGTGACTTGATTTATGCATAGCAAAAGATACAGAAACAAAAGGCATACCCATATCGAAGATCAAGTTTATGTAAAACCTCAGGCTGTTCACCGTTTATAGGTTCAGCAGACTCCATGTAAACAATATCACGTGGAGAAACTTCCGTCTTTGCATCTCCTCCATCTTGTGTCTCCACCCTGATATATCAGGACATTAAATGAGACTAAGACCTTCAACCATATACCAAATGAGACCCAAATTACTCATTATATTCTCAAGATGAGCACATGATGTTCGTATATCTGATATAAAAGCTTCTTGGTGCTACTTTCGAGCATGGGAAACTAAGTTTATGCATCTTTGAGTAACTTAGGAGTTTAACAAAGATGACAAATGACATTATAAAAGTTGTGCAAATTTATTCCTATATGTTATATTCATGATCTTATATCTATTTCTTCAATTAAGCCACATTGACAACTTTTTAGACTAGGTTCCTGAGAAACTAGGGATAAGGTACTTCAATATTTCACTGTTGGCATGTCAAAGAACATTCTTCTAGATGAACTATGTGATGGAATGTGCAGAAGCAACATGAGATGTTATCATTTTTTTCAAAATACTCTCTTGTCAAATGCCTACTCACTTCAAGGGCTCAAGCAAATCCAGTGCCATAATTTTACCAGGTTTTATATCCATCCAATTTCCTTTACACCTAGAAGTAAAATTCTTCATACTGAACTTTTTCTAATGTCTGTTGATGTTTTATATACCTATCCAATATCATATGTTCATATGCTTCTTAAAAATGTTTACTTGATAAAAAATGAAAGGTATTATAGCTTTGAATTACCAATATAGAGTTGAAGGTTTGTCAGATCTCCAATTGATCGAACGCTTTCCTCTGCGTACGCTATTGAATGCAATAGGAATATCTTCAGCCAAAGGCAAGTCACATATTTCTCTGACAAACTTCCCAGTTGTTGTCCACAATTCAACTTTCTTTGGGAATCTTCCACAGGGTACAATGTAGGAGTACGGTCGATGAATAGAAGTAACCAATATGTACTTGTCATCTGGTGAAGGATCAATAGATGTATATACAGCAGGTGGCCCAACAGTCTTCATTGTCCCATCCAAAGATACCAGTACTAGCTGTGATGTGGAATAGTAGTCAAATAAATCTTCATCATATTCGTCCTTCAGTAGATCCTGGAAGGTCCTAACTTGAACAACATTTTTCTGCTCATTTGATTGAACTTTTGGGCCAGATGGGACCAATGGTTTCTTTGGAGGGGCTCCACGAGAAATAGGGATAGTGCAAACTAACAACATGGAATCGTTCACCCAGACAAAACTACAAGATCACAGGTGGCAAAGTATTAAATCACTGATGATGCAGAAATTTAGCAGAAAGAAAAAAAAAAACTGGCCTGTACTTGTCAAAAACTGCGTTCAAGAATATATCAGGCGATTGGAACAGTGGTCTAGCTTTTCCAGATTCTACATCTGCGACCCAAACTCTAAGCTTGCTACTATTGTTTTCCTCCTAAATTGAAAATATTGAGGAGTCATTGGAAGGATGTGAAACAACAAACTGCATTGCTATAATAAAAAGCACCTGCAGGTTTACCTCATCAACTCGAATGCTGAATGATAAATGCCGACCATCTCGTGACCTAAAGTAAGTAGAATCAGAAAATCAATATATTAGAAAGTCAGCTAAGTGACTTATTGTTGCATCCAAAATGTTGTTTCTTAGACAATTAACAGGAATCCAAAACTCAATAATTAGGAACAAAATAAATAATTCATGTTGCCAATCCAGATAAAAAACAATAAGTTCATTCACTGCTTTTATATTATATCCATAAATTTCGTCAATCAACATCAGGAAGAATAAGAAAATTACTAAGCTTTCAGATGCAAAGAGCCTTTTGGTGAAAAAAGAAATTACCAGCTAACAAAATTAATCTTAGCTCCATCAGGGAATCCGTGCACTTCTTGTTCAGGTCCTAGCTTACCATCATCAGTTAAGGAATGAATCCCAATCCCCGTATAGAAGGACCTAAGAGACATACCACATCATCACTTACAAACATGGCAGAATTAATATCAAATTCAAATTTGCTACAACTTGTGCACTGGACTCGAATATCGGAATGAAACAAGGAACCCATCCATTACTCACATTCGACTCCGGGCATTATAGTTACCATCAATTCGTATACCAGCAAGCTTTTCCTCAGGGCGAGCAAGCTCTGAAAGCGGTGGCAGAGATCTTCGTTTCAGAAAGAGTATCTTATCCCTGTGTGGTGAAAATGACAATACAGGAAGGGGTGGTGCATCAACAATATCTCGAATTTCCTTTGGAGGAAGCCTATACCCCCCAAGTGACAAACTTTCTGCATCAAATGAACCAAAATATTTTAAGAATAAGTGAATAACTTTGTTCTCACACAAAGGACAACGAGTTACAATGTCCAGACTATTTGGGATGAGCTACATGGTTGGAATCTCCTCAAAACAAAGAAGAATTAGCAAGTCAATAGTATAATCATGTTCCCTGCAAGATCATTGGAATCTAAAAGACTATAGAATGACTCAACAAATTCCAACCATCTTTGAAAAAAGATCAAAAGTATAGTAATTCACAACTTAAGACCTCGAGACAATATCAACCAACTGTGAAACCGCAATAACCACCAAAATAGATTGCACATTTAAAATGGTATTACGCATGTAAGAAGGAACCTGCCACTAACATGATCCAAAGCAATAAGGGATAGTAAAACAATAGCACTACTTCAGTCCACAGCAGTTTATCTTGATAGCAATATCTCCCAAAACAGAAAAAACAGAATAAAGAAATTGATATCAGCAGCAACTGCTGCCCAAATCACAAACTAACAGAAAAGAAAGCCATGCGTTCTTCTGAACAGGATTGTAAACAAAGCATATCCCTAAGATAACTGAAGGGCAAGGGAAATTTGCCTCGATGCAGCCACTACCACCAGCAACCGACTTTTCATAGATTCAAAATGGCATGTCAATCAAGCAAGCACGAAACCAGCACTTGCGAAAACAAAACCCGGGATCCGCTCCAAATTTTAATGTAAGTTACGGATTCAGGGACATCAACCGGATTATCTGAAGAAGAGAAAATTCAATCTTGTCATATCTAGCCAAAGCAAATTAGACGATCGGGCAAGAAACCTGCAATCCCAAGACCAAGAATCCAAGCCAAAAATCCATTTTTTATATCTGTAGAGATGAACAACGAATCACTGAATATAACGACTTTTCTATGAGTGACCATCTTCTTGAAGCCTCTAGCAAAAGGAAAACCTAACCAGAAAACCACGCTAAAAACCCAAAAGGTGCGATCTTTCCTGGGTCAGCTCTTGAGGCGATCCAAAAGCAGTAAAGATGACAATTTTTGCGCGCACCTTCATCTTCTAGGGGCAGAGAAGTGGGGGCCGGAGATCCGTTCGGGTCCGCGACGCCACTCTCGGCAGCGGATGCGAAGGGGACCAGCCTGGCGAACCGGGAGGGGGCGGAGGAAGCCACGTGGGACCTCATGTGCCTCACGCGACGGAATCGAAGCGAATTAGGGACACGCAGAGGAGGAGAGCAGAAGAGGCCGCCACCGTGGGGGAGGGAGCGGAGAGGAGGAGGAGGAGGAGGAGGGGGGCACAGCGTGGGATAGATGAGAGAGAAGCGGCAGTAGACTTTGTGAAGGAACATTTTATTGCGAGACGGGGTTCGGAGGGACACCCAAAATGTCGACACTATTCTACAGTTTCACTGGTTTATTGGTATATCCCCACTGCCGATTTGCCGGTGCTGCTTTGGTACGTACCTCTGTGGCCCACATGGGAGCCAATGAGCTATGAGCCGATGCTTTCTCCCAAAAGAATAAAAAGGGAAAAGAAAGTGCTTTATTTTCTGAATTATTCTGATTCGTTTTCGCTCCTAAAAATATCTCCCTGTCCTTTTAACATGTTGACACGTGGCATCCACTTAAAGGTCAATTTTTTTTCTTTTATTTCAAATAAAATATTAAAAAATTATTATATCAAATGATGAAAAAATAAAATCCGTCTTCTATAAATAGGATTGTGCATAAACGGAGATAAAAATTAATGAAATTTTTAATTTTCTTCATAGATATAAATAACAAATGTAAAATCTAAGCAATAATTAGGCATCATTGACACCAATGGAAAAAATAATAATAATCCAGAGGAATATTTTAGAATCATAAAATACTCTTTTATTAATTTATTACAAGAGGTTATATTAAAATTATCTCTTTTCATTGTATCAAAAGTTTCATTTGTCCTCCATCTTTGCATGGATCATCTGTAGAGTGAACGTTCGAGCCTCCATCGACCACTAAGGGAGTGTTTGAATCTTCGACGTACAGAACGACACAGATATTTAAGAGAGTCTTATCCATGTGTTACCATCCCATTCGTCACAGGAGGATAAGCAAGATCTATCCTCATCGGCTCCGTCAAATCCAATCCCTGCCATTGCGCTTCACGAGGACAAGCCATGACAACGACGCTGGCTGGTGTGGGCATCTCCACCCCTAGGGTTGTCTCTGTGAAGACCGACCGTCGCCGAGTGAGCTCCCGCCAGGTCGTGCTCGTCGCAAGCGCCCGCCCACCATATCGGAGAAGGTGGCGGAAAGCATCAGGAACGCGGAGGAGACGTGCGTGGAGGACGCTGCGAGCGGAGAGTGCGCCGCAGCGTGGGATGAGGTTGAGGAGTTGAGCGCCGCGGTCAGCCACGCCCGGGACAAGCTCATGGCCGATGATCCCCTCGAACGACTGCAAGGACGACACCCCAGAGGCCGAGGAGTGCCGCACCTTCGAGGCCTAAGAAGACTTCCAGACGAAGCAGCAATCATCCATAGTGTCAGAAAGAGGTGACTACTGTTCTCTAATTCAGAATTCTTCATCTTATGCTGTAGTCTAAGAAAATTACTACTTGTATTCAGTAAATAAAGATATTTATAGAACATTGGATTGGTTCGATTTTTGGGTGAGGATTTAGATTCAACTCAGACATTGATGTCCAAAAAGATGCAACACACGACACACAGTATCAGTAAGTAGTACTTCAGGAGCAACAGAGTTCGACCAGGATTCATGCTGGCTAAAAGATGAGCAATAATTCGATAATATTAGGACGAAAAATGTCATCTAAACATCTGATACGATCATATAGGAAGGCAGTGTTGTGGTACGGTCAAAAAGATTAATCTAGATTTGGTTCGACGAGCAGAAACGACAAGCGATGGAAAGGCGGATGAGTTAGAACGGGAGCATGTTGTCAGTCGCCACGATCACTCGCTCGGAGTAGGGAAGCTGCCATGGCCGGAGGAGATGAGCAGGAATCTCCGGTCTTCCCATTGCCATCCCACCAATCTCCTCTGTGATTCCAAGCACTGGGGCCAGCGACTGCAGCCTCTGCGTCAATTCATGCAGTTGAGCTCGCAGGATGGCGTTCTCAACCTCCACCGTCGTGTATTGCCGCCTTTGCAGACTGATCTGCATCTCGATCTGGCCATTTTGGGTCTTGAGCTGCGCTACTTGGTTCGTCAGATCATCCAATTGTTGTTGCTTCCTCATCCGGGACCTCCGCGCCGACTCCCGGTTGGAGATCATCCTCTTTCGCTTCCTTTCGTCAATGGCAGGCTGTGCGTCAACTTCAGATGCCGAAGGTCGGTAGATTGCGTAGGAAGGCATACTCTTACTGCAGGGGGAATGCATTCCACGCTAGTCGATCATAAATTGGAACAAGAGAGTCCTTCCTCGAAAGGACTGGCTCAGGAAACGAGATTTAGGTTATGAGAAGACGTAGAACCAGTAGAGGAATGCGCCGAGGAGGAGTGGAGGAAGCAGATGCGGGCGAGTAGCGAGATTCATACTCTAAAAGATGGTTTTATCGGTGAACATTGAGTCTACGAACAAAATCTTTCTAAAAGATCAGAAGCCTAAATCCAATGAATGAATTCCTCGATCGGAGAGAGCAAGAAGAAGCGATCTCAAAGCTCAAGACTACGCGATCTTACATGCTCCAAACAAGCGATTCACCTCCGGAGGCGGATCCCAAGATCCGATTTTGGGATTCGAGGGTTGAAGAAAACAACCGAGAAGCCAAAACTACCAGCAAAAGATCAGATTTTGAAGCAGGATTGCTGCTCAAACAAGGATTCCACCTTATATTAGCCAGGAAAAGGTCAGAATAAGGCGACAAAATACAGAGAAATGAACCAAACTTGCTCCAATATTAGGAAAGGAACAAGAAATACTTAGCTGGAAAGAGGAGAAAGATCAAATCTCCAATAGAGCAACCGAATGAAGGAAAGAAGGGTAGAGATATCCTGCAATAAACTATTTATAGCAGAGGAGAAGGCTGTTTCCAATGTACTTGACATAGAACAGCTCGATATCTGTTCTATAATTATCTCATTTCTTGGTTACATGACTTGGTATGAATTGATACGTATACTTCACTGTTCCTCGAGCAAATTAGTAATAGAATTCGACACAATAAAATTTTCCATTCTTTTGGATCATTGCCCTCCTTATCCTCTAAAGAAACCATGAATTTGATTTCTTCGATGCCAATGATTAAAAGCCTTCCCTACTTTAAGGCCAGAAGTTAGTATGCTCTAATGATAGAAACATAGTAGAAACAATCGACAAAAGAATTGGCCTCTAGATTTCCTGTGCTTGATACATCTCAGCTGGAAATTCTATATCATCAGGCCTCCGAATAAATCACGAAAAAAACAAAAATTATCACATAAATCAAAGTCAGGAAGTAGATTGACCATCCTTCAGACGGTTTACGGGTTCATGCATTTGTTGACACAGTATCTAAATATAAAAGGAAAAAAGAAATCTAAACACAGCCATGCTTGCCTATCCATTTACTAGTTCTTGGCGGGCCGCACTCGTTTTTTTTAATTATATGGATAAATTATAAATTTGATTAATCAATTATATTATTAATAAATATATTTTCTAATGGATAATATAATTTTTACAAAGTAAATTTAAATTTTATTTTTATATGTGAACCATAAAATATCAATATTATAATTTTATCTATATGTCTAAAAATAAAATAAAAATTAAATTATTACTTACCTTTTGGGGAGAGTTCATTTTTCCCATATAAAGGGGCTTCCTTCCTTGAAGCTATAGCAATGAAATATGTTTCCATCTCACTATCTACGAGTGCCTCAATCTATATGACTATATACTTGCTTTTAATGCCACCATCCATGGCAGTGAAATCTGAAACTATGCATTCTGTCATGCTAATAATCTGAGAGCAGGTCAAGAACACCATACTTGTTAATGGTAATCAGTTTCATTTTTCATGGCTTGTCACTAGACATAGTGTTAATGCATCCTGAAGCCTAACCCTAAAAACACTTCTTCTTCTCTAGCAGGGGAGATCAGAATCGACCTTGGACAAATTGAATTGACACTGAAAATTCTGTTCTTGATACAAATTTTGACTCTAGAAGAGTATTTCCTTGTGGAAGTTCTCAGTGTGTTCCTCTCTCATTTGCATCAGAAGTCTTCAATGTTTCAGGCAAACTGCTCTACATCATGCAATTGCATGGTAGGCAGGCAATGTTAATGTGAGTGATGATAATGTACTTTCTCACAGAACACTCCCCTTGGCTAATTTTATTTAGCTGTATCATCGAAATGGAAGGTGATTTTTTTTTATCTGATCTCCAAGAGGAAAAAGACAGTAGTGAAGATTAATGTTTTCTTCCTTGTATTAAAGACCTGTGAAGCAATAGACTAGGAGGTGGTGGTGGTGAAAGATAATGACAAGTTGTTGAAGAATGTTAGTATCTTCCAAAATAGCATATGCCTGACTGCTTGATGTGATTATGCTAGATTTGTGTGACATGGTATCTGAACTGTTTATGCTTCCAACACAACTAGATCAGATTCAGCATAGAACAAAGCTAGCAGGTCCTTTTAATGATTGTTTAAAGGCAGATGTTTGATGAACTTTAGGATCAGACATGAAAAGAAAACAAAGGTATCAGATGCTGCAACAAGATTTGCTAAGGGCCAACTTGTTCTTAGTGGTCTTAGCTTCTGTTTTGCTATCATGAATTGAGAGAATAGTTTGCTTTTGAGGATCTGAAGAGGAGTTTGATGGTGAATCCATGAAAATATCTACATAATATTCTCTCAGAAAAGTACAGTATGAGGAAATGCATGGATCAGATATAGATATGCATGTAAAGATTCTGCATTTCTTAACTTTTCATATGTGCCAAAAGATTAATATGCATGGCCTTCTTCCCCTGTCTTTCCACATTCTTGATGTTGTTTATGTTTGTTGTTCTCATTGAAACATAGTGTTTTGTTGTCAATCGAAATATTGTAATCTGCATTCTTTATTTGTAGCTTAAATCTGCAGAATGGATTCAAGGGATCACATCATCCAAATAGTTGATTAATGTGGAATTCAGAAAAGATTTGTTGGTGGAAACAGATCTTTCTATCTGTACAAAAGGATGAAATAGAACCACTGTCATTCAGAATTTGTTCCACTTACCAAAATATATTTTACTAATATCTCTCTAAAGTTCAAAATTATGGAAGGCAATTGAAAAGTACATTTGGAAGACCTTTTTAATCTTTACTCCTTCCATTCAATCATTATCAAAGTTGAATTTAGTGAAATGGTAATAACTATAGAGATAGTAAAGTAAAAAAGAAAAAGTTAGATAAGCACTCCAAGAAACTATCTTTATGATGACTCAAATACGTGATTAGTGTAGTAGGTTTATCACATCTAAATAGCCTTCCATATCAATATATTGGTACTAATTGATCAGTTTTAAATCCACAATGAAAGCATGACTGTATTTTCTTTGCCTTCTACCTACCTTCATCACATACTTGATGGCTTCTCATGGCTAACATCATGCTCCTTATGATTGCTATTACAATCCTCTTAGCCACCAGAAAAACTGAGGGAGCTCAAGTTCCTGCCATGTTCGTGTTTGGTGATTCATTGGTAGATCCTGGAAATAACAATGATCTTCTAACCGTGGCAAAGGCTAATTACTATCCTAACGGTATCGATTTTGCGATCGGAACCACAGGACGATACTGCAATGGAGGCACTGTGGTGGATCATTTAGGTAAGATTCCACATGAGCATGCTATTACAGCATTGATTAAGCTAGCTTCAAAGTTCAACATGAATGTCTCTGTTTCATTGAGATGTTTATGGTTCACTTTTGGTTTTACTCTCTGGATAAGAACTTGATCTTTTTTGTTTTGTTTTTCTGAATTTTATGCATAAAGTTTGGTCTTCTCAAATGCCAGTAATTTATTTTTGTTGATTCTTCCTTTAAATTTGGATGTAGGCAATCTTTTAGGGCTTCCTTTGATCCCTCCATTCAACAGTCCTACCACCACTGGATCTAACATTCTTAGAGGAGTGAACTATGGATCTGCTGCCTCTGGAATCCTTTGGGACACAGGATTAATATATGTCAGAACCAACATCACTGTGTGTGTGTGTGTGTGTGTGTTTAGCTTCCATTTGACAGACTACTACTTGTGTCTTCTCAGGGAGATGTCTTCACATTGGATGAACAAATCCAAAACTTGAAGATAACACTCCAACAACTGCACCTGCTTCTGGGGAATGGGACTGCAGATTTCCTCGCCAGATCTCTCTTCTTCGTTGGCATGGGAGCTAATGACTACATCAACAACTACTTGCATCCTCTACCTCGAAAGTCCAGGAAGTACACCCCGGTTGCCTTTACCCAGTTACTCATACAAGAGTACAGAAGGCAGCTTGAGGTCATCTCCCCACCTCCTTGTTTCAATGAACATTTCTAGCTCAAACAAATGGATTGCTCATGTGTGGATCGCCTCAGGATCTACATGACTTGGGTGCAAGAAAAATTCTCGTCGCTGGAGTTCCACCACTCGGTTGTACTCCAAACCAGATAGGCGGCTCCAATGACAGCAGAGGAGAGTGCATCAGATCGAGCAATACACTGGCGGCGCAGTTCAATTCCCAGGTTAAACTGTTGGTCCATCAGCTGAACACAACACTTCCGGGATCCTCTTTTCTCTTCTGGGACACCTACAGCCTCATCCACAACATCATTGACAATTACTTACTCTATGGTGATCCTCTATTACTCTACTTATCCACTTCGCTTCTTCTTCTTCTTCGTCCTGTGAGCTTTGCTTGCTGGCTCAGTGATGATTCATGGGTGATTGCAGGGTTCAAGTACCCGAACAAGGCTTGTTGTGGTGTAGGTCGATCGAAGGGGCAAGTGATGTGCCTGCCATTGTTGCCTTTGGAGTGCCGTAATCGATCAGAGTACATATTTTGGGATCCATATCATGCTACCGACGCACTGAACGCCATTGCAGCCAAAGATGCATACCAAGGAACCTTGCATCTCACTTTTCCTATCAATGTGGAACAGCTTGTTCGGAGCTAAGCTGAAACTTACAGTTTCGATCTTCTCCGACACCAATATATTATATTATATATATATAATATAATATTGTCAAAATAAAAGAAAATCCAATGCGTTGCTATATGATCATAAATTAAGCACAATCGGTACATTACGAATCCTTACGTGCCAACCCCAAAATGCACCTCCATGAGATGACCGGAGTGCCATACCCCGTGCCCAGGTGGCGGCGGCGCTCCCTACCAGCCACGCACGATCCCGGAGCACTTCGCCTTGACCCAGCCGTAGCCCTTGCGCAGCGACGCCTTCACCTTCCCCTCCACCGAGTACGCCTTGTAGCTCGCCACCCGCCTCCGCCGCTCCGCGTCCGGGTCGCCGAAGCACCAAACCGCTGGCACGGCACGGCCGGCCTGGGACACGCTCCGGTAGCGGCGCTCGAAGTCCGCGGCTGCGGCGCCGGTGGCTTTTGGGCTGCTGCTCCGGGTGTCGGAGCACCAGAGCTCGCTCTGGTGGGCACGGTCTGCGTTGGCCATTTCATCAACGGAAGGAAGGGGGAGGAGGGTTGTGAGTCTCTCTAAATCACTGAGCTGGATAGAGATGAAAGGGGAGTGTGGGAATGTGAAAACCTCTGTCATTGAACTGCGTGTGGAGAGAGAGAGAGAGAGAGAGAGAGAGAGAGGACATAGGAAGAAGAGATTTGAGCTGTAAAGTGGGAGACAGGCACTGCAAATCTCACGCTGCATGGGGAGATGGCGATGGTGAACGTACACAACACCCCCACAGAGTCGAGTATGAAAAGATTAGATGGCTGCAGAGAAACATGCGCAAGTGCATATTTATCGAGTTAAAATAGGCAGAGATCCAAGAAAGCAGAATACAAGAACAATAGATCAATCATGCGTCAGATGGGGTTCACTCCTCTAAATTCTTTTTAGTGATTTTAAGAGTTTCTTAGATTTTTTGCCTTTATCTAAGAAATGACCCTTTCCACAAAATATTATTATTTCTTCATTCCTTTATTCAAGAAATCACCTCGAGATAAAATCTATTTAACATACATATATCATCATAAAAATATTTATTTGTTTATTATGAATTATGCTTCGATCTTATTTGTTTACATTTTTTGGGATACCAATCGATATGTTGAAGATCATCTTACCGATGTTTTAGGTATGATTTGATTATATTTTATTTCTCTATCAATGCTCATCAAATCCAACAGGACTAAGCCGATGGGTTCGAATTGGGATCGCCTAACACGTTTTTTGCGTGTAAATAACGATAAAGGAAAGATATAGTGATAGTTTTTCTTTCCCATTCCCGTGTGCGACCCGGCTTCCTTGTTCACGTCCAAATCAGCTCCTCCTATCATTACATTGGATTCGTTTTCCACCCACAGATATTAAGTCCTCTGGCCTATTGTCGCGGGATCCTAATCAAAAGGGTTACGTGGCGTAGAATGGTCGGGCAGATAGCCGTCGTGATGCAATACTCGGCACACGCAATCATGGCAACTGCGATGGTGCAAATTTTGGACTCACCTGTCCGGGTGATTGCAGTGGATCCGACATAGGACCTGGCGACGCATCTTGTCCGTTGAAATATGCCGACTGGACGCGCAGCGGCCGTCGCGATGCAGTTCGACGGTCGAGATCGCTCTCAGATTCATTATTACTTGATCCCGTCTATCTCTAGCACTATATCAACAACTCGTTCGGAAACAGCGGTCCGGAGGTGGCAGATGCGAGAAGAGCAGGTGGAGAAAGGCTTCCGTCAATGGCGTCGCCCGTTGCGCCTGTGAGCCAGTCGAAACCCTAGTTCGTTTTCGAGGCTCCTCTGTCGCAAGGATCTCTGTCGAATCGATTGCAGCCTCCCAGGAGCTTCCGTCGCGCCCATGCGACTCTGGATATCCGCCACGCCCCTCTCGAGAGAGGAAACCCTAGTTCTTGATCTGAACCCCCGCCTCTCTCGACCTGTCGTCCGCTTGAATTCCCGCGATGACGGCCGAGTCCCATAGCCCGACCACCAGAGGCCTCCTCTGTCACGCCGCTGCCGGTGCTTCCGCTGGTAGTCTCAGATCTTTGATTCTTTTCCTTCCTATCGTGTTCTTGGATATTTGATACGGTAAAATCTGGGCGTTGTTGGATTAAACGGGTGGAATTTGGATCTTCTATTGGATAGGTGCAATTGCGGCTACTTTCGTTTGCCCACTGGATGTGATCAAGACCAGATTCCAGGTCCATGGATTGCCCAAAATTTGTAGCAATGGTGTGAAAGGTATGGAATTTTCCTTGATGGACCATTAAAGATTTCCGACATGCAGGTAGCTTCTAAATGTCTATGCGTTCGTGCCGTGTAAATTTGCAAGTGTTCCACAATCTTGGCATCAAAAGTTCCTAAAGTAAAAGTGTGGAGGAGCATGGCTGGTGCCGTCAGAATGATAGAAAGATGAATAGAATCAAGAAAAAAGCTTGACAGAGCCATGTAAGTAAAAGGATGTGTACGGTCAGAAAAGAAAACAAAAAAGAGAGGAATGGTGTAGAATGGAAAGGTCTGGCTAAAAATGAAGAGACGTGTTGTTGATATATAGAGATATGGAATGCATGGAAAGACTTAATAATACGTTACTACATATAGTGAATATATAGGGGGAAGTGGGTTTTGAAAGTTCTTAGGTGAAGAAATCCAATTCATAAGTGATGAAAGGATAAGATTATCAGATGAGAATAGAGAACTATTATTGCATGATTGCTTGTCCACTTATCCATCGTTATGTTTCTCTCAAAACTGTGTAACACATTTAATGCTTTTCTGGGACAAATCTACATACTTCCTGTATTGTTTGTCATAGTTGAGGTTTGTAATATTTAACTTCAATGCATAATTTGGAATACTATAGTCTATCGATAGATTAAGTTTGAGCTCAAGCGACATATAATGCAACTGTGATGTTTCCCTCTGGTTGTGAAACTTGGATGATTTTTGTATCTAACTTTGTCAGCAGCATAAATGTCTTCGGAGAACCCTACTTGGCATAACATGGAATTTCTAATCATGTCACATCATGTTCTTATTGGGGGAAACTAATTTTCTTACTGAATGTTTTTGCTTGATGCAAATAGAACATTTAACAAAACCTCCTCAATGAGGTCAAATGTCCATTGTTTATTGGAGCAGCATGTAACTTAGCTTTGCTGCATGTGTTTTTTTTTTATTATGACTATTTGAGCTATCTAAGTGATGTCGGAGCATACATAATAGCGCCACATCAACCAATCTGCTGATAATATCATGTATTTAGTTTGCATCACATGGTGATAATGGAAGTTATCTTACTCTTTGTGGATAATCTTGTCAGGTTGTGTTCCTTGATCGTGGGATTTGGAATAGAATTTTTAAACCTCTGGAGCTGTGTGTGATTTAATCACTATACAATGTCTCAAGCATGAATGTACCGGGATATTAGGATTTAGAAACACATAACTTTCTACAGTTTTTAATTGATTGTGATCAATATTTTTAGTTGATATATCCAAGAGGCAGAAATAGTATATTCTTCCATTAGTTTTTAAAAATAATTCTTGTATTTATCCATTAGTTTTCAAAAATAATTCTTGTATTGATACTATTAGCAGGTAGTGTCATAATTGGAAGCCTTGAACAAATATTAAAAAAGGAAGGTGTGCGTGGCATGTATCGTGGTTTGTCACCAACTGTTTTGGCATTACTCCCTAACTGGGCAGTAAGTTTCTACCTGTCTTTTCACCAAGATGAAATGTGTTTTGCAATAAGCTATTTTATCTTATAAAAATTGTGGACTTCAAGTACCTAAAAATGCATGAAAGTATTAAAAAATTGCCTAGTGTTACTCTATTATTTATGAGCAATAATTTTGCTGTCATATTTCACACTTTGATAAAGGTATTATCTGTGTGTTGTGAAGCTGCACATGAAAAATGTATCACTTTTTCATATATTGTTAGAAGCTATGTGAGGTAGTCTTTTTCATGAAAATAATAAGTTGGTCACTTTTGGAAATTGACTGCAAAAATATTTCATGCATGTATTATATGCAGTTGGTTAACGTTTTTTTGTGGAAATGACAATTAGGTCCATATACTGAATTAAAATATTAAAATTTGGGATATTATTATTTGTAAAAAAATTGTGATTGGGGTATAGATAAGGATCTTGGTTGACTTGTTTGGTGAATTCAAATTAGGAATTGTGGCTTTGCCAATGTAAACAAAAATTAGAGTACTACAATTAAAATATCAATAAATTAAAAATAACTCTTATTATTCCTGTCCCTTTTTCACCGATAGCTATTAATTAGTGCAGCTAACGTGTGTCTCCCTCTCCATTCTTCATTATCAACTAATGGCTATGCACAAGTAAATACTATTATACTGTTGAAAACTCAACCATCAGAGTTCCTTCTCATCAAGCAGAAAGAGAATCAGTCATGAAATGCTGATCTGACATAGTCCATGTTGGGATTAATTATTGACTTAATCTAGATTGGCCAATTTGTTTCGTTAGAGGAGCTAAATTATTCGTATCTTATAATGCAAGAATTTTTAAAAAAAATCAACCTCTCAATATTGGGCTAGTGTAGATTGGAATAAAATTGCATAAAAATATGTCAACTCTTTTTTCTTGTAGTAATATGAATTGAAAGGTTGGACTAGTGTAGATTGGAAGCCCATTATGCAACAACAAGAGCTATTTAAAGCAAGGTTCCGAGGCGAACCACAAGATTGATCATTGTGAACCACAAGTTTCCAAGGCAACTCCTAAGGCAAGTATAATTGCGGCATGTATTGGTGCAGAAATTGGAGAATATCAAAACGTTTAGTTTCGTCACCGATCTGTTGCTATGTATCTTAAGATTGATTACCGTACTACTGCTCGGAGAAGAATGACCAACTATAGCCGTACTGTTGTTGGTCAAAGATTATCCATAACATGATGATTGGGAATACGACGAGCTTTGCTCTGTGTCTACGTCGTGTAAGCTTTGTCGCATTTGCTCGAAATCATCCACTGCCTTCCTCTTCCCCTTTCGTGTATAAACTAGATCGGTATCTCATCGAACTGCATGATCTGAATCTTGGGTGGCATGGATAAAATACTACTCCTCGACACCGTCGCCATCATCGATCGATGCACTATTGTCCACGTCGTTGCCATGTCTCAAGACCGAGCAGGTTGCTGAATGCGATTGAGAAGATGTCTCGTCTCTCGACTCGATTCTTTATAATGGTGTGGCTGATGCTACCACCTTCCCCTTTACCTTTTCCTTTGCACACTGGGCAGATGACTGTGATGATTGAGTGTCTCTAGTTCCTCGAGTAGTCTGACTTCATGTTGTCCAACTCCTTCCATCACATTATGATCGAGTGCAATCTTCCTCATTAAGTAGAGGATCTTCTTGATTCTCCATTGTTTTGACCCACTCTAACAATAGTTATGAATCTTTGTTGTAGTATTGTTGGTCAATGGGATCAATCTTTGGTTCCTCTGGCTCCTTGTCCAGTTTGGCACATCGCAACCTTAGTCGCATGCTGTAGTAGACATATATCAGTTTCTCCAATCATTTTTACGATGGTCTGTTGTGGATCTTCGTGTGAATCAATGCGAACGTTGACCAGTTACGTTCACAATCACTTGATGTCGTCATCTAGGAAAGTACAAATTGCAGCTTTGTGGAGTTCAAGGGAGTGCAAATGAGAAAGGAGAAATATCTGAGTGAGAAAGTGATTGAGAGAGTATATGAGTTAGAGAGAGTGAAAAGGGTAGAATGAGGAGGTAGAAAGGGTTTAAAAGCCCTTAGATTTGGTTCAAACGGTCAAATGGATCGTTTGAATTCAACAAATCCTAGCCATTGATCGGTATCAATCGAAATCCGACGTTACTAATCGGTACAGGTCAGTAACGGTCAGATTGTGACCGTATTGATTGGTACAGACCACGTATCGAGTAATACAGGGTCCCCTGTTATGGACCACTTGATTTAAGGTGGTTTGCATGTCGGTCCCCTATCGGACTGGTATGTACCACCCAGTATAGGTTGGCATGGAGAACCATGATTTAAAGTTTTGTTTGTAACTTTGTAACATTCTAAGATATTGATGTGTACTTGGGACACCCTTTTCTCCCGCCTATGTAGGTTTCGTGTCAATTTCCAGCACCCTTCAAGATGAATTCTCTCATTATTACTCAACAATTGTAGTATGATGGCGGGTTATAAAGTATAAACTTCTATAAATGGTTGTTTAGTGTGAACATGAACGTTGCTGACCAACAAAATTGGAATTTGGATCTGAAGTTACTCTCTGTCTGAAATATTTTGGATCTTAGAATTTGTGGAATTCCTATTCTTATAAATATAGTCTGGATATCTCAGCATTTGATGTCAAGCCGAAGCTTTGCATGAGGAAATGTCATCAACAACATGTAAGTGATCAAGAAAAATAATTCAGACTTGAAAAATTATTGTTTGGGTTTCACCATGGTCTGCGTATAGTATACCCATTTGGTTCTGATAAATCAGTTTATAAGTCTTCTCCCACTTCTGAGATGGTACAAAACTGGGAGTACTATAGTCTTTCCTATTTAAAGGCTCGATGTCCTCATCAAGTACTAACATAACACAACAGGGTCTAGAATTAAATCCGAGCATGGTGCTTGTGAGGCCATCCTGACTCTAGGTCATGATGTGCCTCTATCTTATTCACAAGTAAAAAATTTTATTCAGAAATCTTATCATGCTTGATGCTAGGTCGACTTTGATATTTATCAGAGCTCGACTCAATGGAATAATTGACCAATTAACTTGATAGGCCTAGAACCATGTGACCCAAGATGCTTAAACATATTTAACCTGTAACTTAACACTTCTCACTTCCGATGTTAGACTAAACTGGGGGTACAGGCTAAGATCAGATTCTATTAGATATTAAATTGCAAAGGCTTAGAGAAGAAATGAAATTAAATATTTTCAACACTATCTCTTTCTACCATCTTTCATGGTCCACATGATAATGGTTGCATGTCCATTCCTTTCTATGGTTGAAATGTTATTTTTATCTAAAGTTATAAATTTGTCATAGTAATTTTTTTTCTACACTTCCATCCAGGTTTACTTCACAGTCTATGAACAATTGAAAAGTTTTCTTTCTTCAAATGGTTAGTAGATTTATGGCGTGTTCTCCGTAATTTATGTCCTTCCATGTACAAGGTTAATGTTTGATTTCAAATTGTCTTTAATGCTTTGTTTAATTTGTTACTTCGTTAGATGGAAACCACCAACTATCTATAGGTGCCAATATGTTTGCTGCATCTGGTGCTGGAGCTGCTACTACAATTGCGACTAATCCACTCTGGGTTGTCAAGACTAGATTCCAAGTATGTCAAATATATTTGGTAATGTATTTTAATAGGAGAATACATTATACTGAACACCTTGTCGGTTGACAAGTATGATTTTATATGGTAAAACAAAATGTGAATCATACCTGATGGATTTTATTATTATCTGCATCATAGTTCAACGCAAGATTCATTGTGCATCACTGATTTAACTATAAGAACCTGAAATGTGATAGTTTAGTGATTCTTCTCTCTTTGCTTTGAAAGAATGTAGGCATGTGCAGAATGGTAGGATGATTTCTGTATATAGGATGCCTCAATTGGATGCTTTAATTGAATACATAAATTGGGCTATTTGATGAATTGTATCATGAGCATGCTGCCGCCATGTTCTTTGATTTGTACTGCTTTTTGAATATTAGATTGTTGTGTAACCTTATTTTTTCATTTTTCAGTTTTGTATATCAACTTTGATGATTTGTTTGTTGATGTGGCTAGCAAATAGAGTTGTCCTCATTTCACTATATAATTGTTTGGGCAAAGAGTAACACTCTTTGGGTTGAGTTTCTATTATGGTTTTCAGAATGGAGGCTCTCTTCAGCTGTGTTTTCTTTTCTTTGTTTTTCGGTTACGCAGTGGGTTAAAGGTGATTTAGTTCTGTGGAGTCCTGTCATGCACGGGGAATTGAACTACATTTCCTTTCTGTGTGGACAGCTCCATTCTAAAAAAGTAGAATTGTCATTCTAAAGAGGGACTAGTAGAATTGAACTTTGATCTGGTTTCCTTCCACGGAGAGTTGAACTCTGATCTGGTGCCCGAAAAGGGACTAGTAGAACTGTTATTCTAAAAAGTTGGTACCATCTTCCCCTGTGAGCAAATAATCTAGGTTCATTTGCCCAATGCACTTGATCTTTTAAGGGCTAAAGCAAGAATGGACAACACACAATCATGTTTTGCAAGCTCAAGGATTACTGTGTTAGTTGATAAAAAACAGGAAGGACATAAACTGCAGCAAATACTTATCATTTTGACTTTTATGATTATAGTTTTGATTTCATGATCCTCGGATATCTGGTTCATTGGTTCTTTTGCGCAAGACATGGAGATCAATTACTAGTCAGAATTATTGAGTCGTCATACTGCTAACCATTGAATGCATGATATATGCAGGCTCAAGAATTGAGAGTTGGCACGGTTCCTTATCAGGGTACACTTAATTCTTTGAGGAGAATAGCCCATGAAGAAGGTATTCGGGGGCTATACAGGTGAGTCATTCTTGAAGAAATATGAAAAGACATTTATTCTAAATTCAACTTGAATATCTTATTAATTGAATGTCCTGATATAATGTGTTGTATAGTGGTCTAGTGCCTGCTTTGGCAGGGATAAGCCATGTTGCCATCCAATTCCCAACATATGAGAAGATAAAAAGTTACCTGGCTGAACAAGGTATTGGTTAGGAACTGTATCTTAGTGGAAATTGTGTTAATCCTTTGTTGCTTCCTTGCTTTAATATATGCTCTTTTTTCTTAGATAATACTACAGTAGATTCGCTTACTGCACGTGATGTAGCTGTTGCTTCATCTATTTCAAAGATTGTTGCATCGACATTAACCTACCCTCATGAGGTAACTTCTTCTGTCCAAGGATATCAGAATTGTTCACCATACAAAGGCATGCAACCATAAATTTGTTTTGTTTTAGCTTCTTGTGATTGTGATTTTTGGGATTTGTATTTCTGAAATGAAAATTTTAGGGCTCACTCCTTTTTGCTTATGCTAGGTGGTCCGCTCAAAGCTTCAAGAACAAGGGTTTCATGCTGAGATGCGGTATAAAGGTGTCATTGACTGCATTAAGAAAGTATTTCGAAAAGAGGGTATTCCTGGTTTTTACCATGGTTGTGCAACAAACCTCCTTCGAACTACTCCAGCAGCTGTAATTACATTTACCAGCTTTGAGATGATTCACAGATTCCTCATCAATCTATTCCCACCTGAATCACATCCACATACGTTGTAAGGATTATACTCTGGCTACAGAAAGTTGATGATGGACTAGCCAACAAATATGATCTGTTTCATGCTGCAGTTCATTTGCCTGAAGGCCCAGGCCTTGTGACAGTGACTGTGCTCGTGAGCTATGAGAAGCTTAAATTGTGATTTCACTGTTGGTAAACAAAGTAGGCACCTTTGAACTTGTAGAAGAACATGGTGCCGGTGAAATAATTCTGGCAGTCACCCGGGGAATGAGCGTGCCATGTCTTTTTTTTTTTGGTCTCAAATTGGTTATCGTGCGAATTGGGAACATATAGCACGATAATGGCCACAAAGATGAGGTGAGTTTATCAGTTCTGCTTGTTGTTCATTTGTTGTTTTAAGTGGGTGTCAAGGCAAGATTTTGCATTCCACAAATGTTGCTAGGGAAGAATTTTTTGTGGGGGGTAATTACTATCCCGATCAATCACTATTGTAAAACTGATTATAATTCTTTAATCATCATGTGTTTTAGAAATATACCTTTGGGGAAAAGATGCTACATTCTTCAGGTGCTTTTACATTTTTTGTAACATCAAGGTCATATTTTTCAATTGAAATAAAAAATAGTTAAATTGGTGCTTCGCATAGCATATTATCTCTTCATCTTGGGTGATAATTCTCCCAATGGAAAGAAATTTTGTATTGGCATGTCTGTTGGTCGTGTCTGGTTCAGTATGTATCGGTGTATTGCGGTATAATACATTTTGATATTTTAATTAAAAAAATTGAAAAAACTAGTTAAAAATAATAT